GGGGAATTCTGGGAGTTGAAGTCCACACATCTGAAAGTTGCTAAGGTTGAGAAACACTGCTCCATGAAGACAGGTAGACCCCCCCAACCAATACAAAGATGTGCGGGAGGAGGAGGAATAGCTTGAAGCTTAAAGTCAGCCACCTGCACCCCGTGGGCCACAAGCCCCCCCTTCCCTGCAGCACCCCAAATGAAATTCGGGGCGGAAAATGACCAATCTTCTAAATGGCTAAGATTCTTGGAGGCAAAATCCATTTCCACTCTTAAAATCTGTCCAACATCTCCAACAGGCCCAAGGTTTGATCCCTGGCAACTGCTGTTCCTGAAAAATATTTAAAAAGTAGTATGAAGCGAAGGGAACAATTCTGAAACTTGGAGAGCGTAATCAGAGGACCAGCCTTGGCACAGCTACTCTCTCTCCTGATGTGAGTAGGAATCGGGGCGTTTTCTGTACCGATAGTGGTGCCTAAACTCTGAAATGCCCTCCCAATGGGTAGCTAACCAGCTTCTTGTCTCTTTCCCTCTATGGGAACGTTGATTTTCACCATCTGAGAACTCATATTTAGTTTGTTGGCTTCAAGATTTGTAAACCACTATTAACTTAGCTTGCTACTAAGGATCTGGGCAGTTTCTGCTGCTGCTTCTTTTAATCCTCTAAAAGGGTGGCCCCTGCCAATGCTGGTGACAGTGAGTTGCATGTCAGCACTGGGGGTCAGACTGGATGACCTCACTTGTCCCCCCCTTTTTAACAAATTTGGCTTGGGTCTTGGGAACCCCCGTAGAATGACCGCATCGGTTAATACGTCAGCTTCCCACTAAGGATGCTGGGCGCTCATTCAGACAAGGAGCCTCTCCTTGATGTAACCTTGGAGAGGGTTCTCCGAGCGGGGTTTTCGGGAGGCTTGATTGATTCATCAATGGCTCCCCTCCCGGAGACACATTTGCCTAGCGAGGGCCATCGCCCCCATCTCCTGGAGCACCAAAAGCCTGCCTGGCTGGAGTTGTGGGGAGTTGCTGGGTCAGGCATCTGATTCCCACTCCCCAGAAGTAAATTATCTGCACACCAGCCCCGCCCCCCACGCCAGCCCACAAGGAGTTTTGCTCTGCAAATAGAAGACAGGTGTCTGGGTGCAGCGCTGCCCCTTTTCCCATCTGGTTTTCATCAGGCACCCGGAGCCTGGGTGGGGCGAAGAAGGCAGCGGGAGGACGGGAGGAGGTCTCCTGCTGGGCCCCCCTTGAGCCGAGTGGTGTGCAAATTTTATGCCTGCAGAGCCATCGGTAGGAGCCCGGTCTGCTGCAAAGAAAACTCAGCCTTTTTAGATTCTTCTTCTTTTTTCTTAAAGACAATTCCATTTCACATCTCTAACGACAGCTCCCCTTGCTGAAGGACCTTCTACCAATTAGCTCTATGGATCAGCCTTTTCTTTCATCCACTGAGTTTCGCCAGATGACCTCACTGAGATCTAGTATGATGGAAGGAGGGTCTCCCACCCGTGTCTCGAAGGCTTCTCCAGTCTGGCCTTCTCTCTGCTCCCCTGACTAATCGCACGGCTCCGGGAAGCCCATAAGTCAAGGCGGAAAGCAGCGTCCTGCTCCTACGATTGCGTCCCACCAAAACTGGGTCCAGGAGGAATCTACTATTCCCTTTGCTCTCTTGGAGCCTCAAGGTGGTGGGGATGATGGGAGTTGGTCCAGAGCATCAGGAAGGCGCAGGAGCGGGAATCATTCCCCACACAGCTAGTAACCATGGCTCCTTTATTGGGCAACAGAGGCAGCTCAGAATGGCTTCAATTAGACAGGATTTGTCCAGAGTGCTTAATAGGAAACCTGTAAGGCATCTTATATTAAGCCCATCAAATCTGGAGTTACATCTCCTTTGAATAACATCACATGCCCAAGTACTCACCCAGAGACCGGCCTTTCCACTCCTTGTGAACGGAGGAGTTTCTAAGGCAGTGGTTCTTAACCGGGGGGGGGGGGGGTTTCTCCCTTGGGGGGCATT